CATCTAGAGGGGGTCGGCCCCCTTCCCCCTTCCCCTATAAATAGAGGGATGAGGGGAGGGCTGACCACCAAACCAAAGGCGCAGCCCCTCCCCTCCCCAACACCTCTCCTCTTTCGTTAAGAGCTTGGCGAAGCCCTGCCGGAGTACTGCCGCTCCACCCCCACCACGCCGTCGTGCTGCTATTGGAGCGCTCTTCCTCAACCTCTCCCTCCTCCTTGCTGGATCAAGGCGCGGGAGACGTCTCCGCTCCGTACGTGTGTTGAACACGGAGGTGTCGTCCGTCCGGCGCTAGGATCATCGGTGATTTGGATCACGACGAGTACGACTCCATCAACCCCGTTCTCTTGAACGCTTCCGCTCGCGATCTACAAGGGTATGTAGATGCACTCCTCTCTCTCTCGTTGCTAGATGACTCCATAGATTGATCTTGGTGATGCGTAGAAAATTTTAAATTTCTGCTACGATCCCCAACAGGCACGGCCCATGTAGTTAGCGTGCCTAGCTGGGTCATGCCGTGCCTGGCCCGTATAACTCAGGTCGTGTCGTGCCGGGCCGGGCGGCCGTCTGGCCAGGTCGGAGGACGAATCAACTTCTCGTTACTTTTTTTACTTTTTTTAAGAAACTACTTCTCGTTAGTTTGGACTTTGGACCCTGATGAAGTGCTGGTTGGGGCTTTGGGCCCAAGACAACACCGCCACCGGTCCGACTTTTTCATATGTTTGATTTATCAATCTTTTGCAAAAATCATGAGAAGTATTCTCTGCAAAGAGCACTTTCTCTTCTCTGGTGTGACAATTGGCGCATCGCATGTGCGACACTTGTTGCGATCGGAGAGTTTTGGTGGGATTTTTTTCCACCTAGGGAGGAATAGATGGTCTTTGTTTGTGCTTTGTGTTTTCAAGCAAAATACCTCGCAAACCATGCATCCAAATTACAAACTATTTTCATCATTGTATTCCTCATGTTTTAAAATTAGATCCCATGTTGATAGGTTTTGACCGACTTTTTTGTATCTACCCCAACAATATTATTTCATTCGACCCGTATGAGAAGAGGAGGTTATGACTAGGGTTTTGACCGGCGGTTGCGATCTCGTGAGTTCGCCCAAGACAACACTGCAAGCGGTCCAACTTTTTACATATATTTGATTTATCGATCTTTTGCGAGATCATAAAAAGTATTCTCTGCAAAGAGCACTTTCTCTTCTCTGGTGTGACAATTGGCGCATCGCATGTGTGACACTTGTTGCGGCCAGAGAGTTTTAGTGGGATTTCTTTTCACTCGGGGAGGAATAGATGGGCTTTGTTTGTGCTTTTTTTCCGATTTGTTTTTTTAAACAAAGTACCTCGCAAACCATGCATACAAATTATAAAACATTTTCACCATTATATTCCTCACGTCTTGAAATTAGATTTCACATTGATAGATTTCGATGAACTTTTTTATCTACCCCAACAATATTATTTCGTTCGATCTGTATGAGAAGAGGAGGTGATGACTAGGATTTTGATCGGCGGTTGTGATCTCGTGAGTTCTCTCGCCTCCTGCCGCACGGCGGGGGGCCTCAGGTCCTCTGCGATGTCGGTGAGAATAAAGTTACTCCGGTTCTTCTCCTGTTGTGATGATGACTTATCGGGCAGCACCACAAGAGTGAGAGATGTCTTGTGTTTGCAGGTATGATCTTGTGAAATTTTGTTTTTCGTCCCCGCAGATGCGTTTAAGCATAACAAGTCCTAACTTGCGACTTAAATATTACAGGATTTTTTAGTTATTGACAAAATGACGAGGCTGTACAACTCAATCTAGGATCTTCTTTTCTTTTGACGGAAATTTCACAACTTGAATTCAAATATCCATCTTGTAGAGGCCGGTATCCCCAAAATTTCTCGTTCAGCTCTGTCAGTACTCGTAGATTATATGATCGATCGCACTCATCACTGCTGGTTTCAAAGGCTCAATTACCACTCATGTTCTGCTTTATTTTCTATCAGATGCTTTTTTTAATGGCTAAGTTAGTTCGTCAAGGATGAGCAATGTTGCGTTTGAGTCAAATATATAGTTTGTTCTTTCTTAAACATTGAAAAAAATATGCGTTGAAAATGGACATGGGAGGTGCGGATGCATCATCACGGTCACCAACTATCATCCGATGAACATTAAAGATACGAAAAAAAAATCCAGAGATATGCATGACAAATAGTGATCCTAGAACTTCCAACAAATATGCATTGCCCATCACAAGACAAACACTTTATTGTAAAAGAGAAAGACAAGCATTCCTCGTTTGATAAGAGCAAATAGTTCTTCAAAGCAAATACTAAATGAGATGGAAATAATATAACGATTTGATGATGATTCCTAGACGGATCTTATTTCTACAAACAAAAGTAAAACATGACTCAAACATGAAGCGCCATACATTTGGCCGTTATTCAACTGATTTTATCATAGTAAACATCTTTAAGACTAAAAGCGCACTTAAGATTGTTCCACATAAGTCTGGCCAAAGAACATTGCAAGAACAGGTGATCAACGTATTCTTCTTTACCACGGAACTAACAGGAGCTATTCCCATGCCAGCTCCTTCTTAGCAAGTTATCTTTAGTTAACACGATGTTCCTTAGAACAAGCTACACAAGCACTTCGATTCTCAACGGCATTTTTGCTTTCCACAAAGAGCTTGAAGGGGAATTTGATATTGTCATCAATCAGTTTTCTATACATCATGTTAACTGAAATTTTCCCAAAGAATAATGCCCATCTAATATAGTCTGGCCCATCCTTACATTGCGTTTCATCACACGTCTCTTGTATACTCTCCCGTAGCCTAAGAGTATCGCCACCCAAAGTATGACGGAAAATGACCGAGGAAAAGCCTCTCTCGGAACACCTTTGCGACTGTAATATTTTTGGCAAAACGGATATTGCATAGGCGCGGATAGGATTAAATTTATCCCCCACCCACCAGTCTTCCCACAACCGAGTCATTTTCCCATACCCCACACAATGCTTGCACAAAATATGATTTTAGGGCTAGATTTTCATAAAAGGACATCATATAGGTAGGCATATTATCTAGGCAAGACTTAATCAGAATAAGCCTACCACTGATGGCCAGGAGGAGCGCCTTCCCTGCCAACTACTGCATACTTTTTCAAGTTTATTACTCTGTACCGGTCTCCAATCTCTATTCCTAATTCTATGCTCATTAACAGGCATACCTAGATATTTCATTGGTGATTTTACTGTAATTATCAGCCTTATTTTTAGCCTCCCCAAAAAGGGAAAGCTCACTTCTATGGAAGTTTATATTCAAACCAGACATCTGTGGCATGAGGTGGTCGGCAAGGATGCCGGGTAGCACGGCCGTCGTGAACAGGAAGGAGTCGGCGACTTAGTGCGGCAGGAACCGAGCACGGTGGGTGCCGGCAGCTGAAAGTAGAACTGGTCGGTGCAGACAATGCCGAGGCTGAACAGGTGGAGATGGCTGTGAACCGTTGGGTGTGGAACGGAGTGAGGCGTCAGGCGCGAGGCTGCACATGCTAGCTTAGCTTCTCTCCTTCTTCTCTCTCCCTTTGATCCTGGCGTGGATAGCCTGGAAGCGCCCCTTCATTTTGGATGAATGGTTGTTCTACTGGGTTTGATTTCATCTCTGCAAGTTGCCCTCAAAGTAGATTTGTGTAAGTTCGCTTTTGATGGATGGTTGTAAAATTCAGCTATGAAAATGAAAAGAAAAACGACCGGGTGCTAATTACAACTTATAGTCTTAGAATGATTAAAATGTGATCAATACGTTTAATAAGTTCGCCAGCACAGTGAACCCTTGATTGTGTCCGAAGGTCTTTTTTGGTTCAACGGAGTTTCATGGGAACTGTAGAGGATTTTATTCCTTAAGAACTATATACTCCCTCCGATCCAAAAAAAAAGTGTTGTGGCTTTAGCTCAAATTTGGACCAAAGACGCGACACTTTATTTGGATCAGATGGAGAACTATTTGCTATGGGAGTGATACGACTAAATCATTGCTCGCTGATAAGTTTCATGACTAGCCTCAATAGTATTTACAGGTTCAATAGCCTAAGTGAGTTTTCTCCTAAATATGGACATGGTGATTGTTCATAATAAACTCCTAGAAAATTTGACAAACTTATTATCAGTGTTCCAAGCTCCATGTGTTCTAGAGCTAAGACCACGTTGGTCTAGGCTCACATCTTCTTCACCACTTCATAGTGCAACCCCTTTTTGTCGTCAGTAGCTTCAATGCAGATTGTTGAGCCTTCACTGGCTTCTCCCTTGACCAACATCTTGGAAAGAGTTGTCATCACATTCTTTTGCATCCACCTCCTTATGGGTCTTGCACCGTAGGTCTACAAGAGATGTTGATGCATGGTTACCGAAACATATGAACATGTGGAGAAGAAACAACCTCCTGTCACATGAAAACAGGAGGCTTTAATCGTGTGATAATTTTGAACAGAAGATATACTTACTGGGCTGTATGATTCCGATAAGATGGTGTCCAACGCGGCATCACTAACAGAAAGAGAGATGCCCTTGGTAGCTACTCTGGCCATAATGCTCTTCATCTGGATTTTCATTATCTCCTTCAGTTTGTCGTGCGAAAGCGGCTCAAATATAACAATCTCACTCAGTCTGTTGAGAAGCTCAGGCTTGAAGTGCTTGCAAACCTATATGAACAAACACATATAATCATTAGCAATTGCTGCTGCAGCTTTTACAGGGGTTGTCTGAGACTCACAGACCTGTTCCATGAGAAGTTCCCGTGTAGATTCCGTTGTGTTTTTTCTAGCCGTCTTTGATATTAAGTAATCAGATCCAAGATTTGAGGTCATGATGATGATGGTATTCTTGAAATCTACAGTCTAGCCTCTGCCATCAGTCAACCTGCCATCATCAAGGATTTGAAGAAAAATATTGAACACCGAGGGATCTGCTTTCTCCACCTCATCAAAAAGGATGACACTGTACGGGTTCCTCCTAACTTTCTCAGTCAGTTGTCCACCATCTTCATAGCCACGATAGCTTTAAGATGTTAAAAGAGACCAGTCAAACTTCAGATTAAGACTAGATACAATAAGATAATGTAATGCTAAGAAAATAAGGAAATAGCACATAGTACGAATTAAACCTTGGAGGTGCTCCAACAAGACGCAACACAGAACTACTCCCAACATATTCAGACATGTCAAAGCGAACCAACATCTTCTCACTATCAAATAGCTGTTCGGCAAGAGCTTTTGCGAGCTCTGTCTTTCCGACACCAGTTGAGCCCAAGAAGAGGAAAGAGCCTATGGGCTGGCCAGGATGATCAAGGCCAGCTCTAGAACGTAACACTGCATCTGCTACTAGGTTGACGGCTTCATCCTGGCCAACAACACGCTCATGCAGTCTGTCCGCTAGGCAGATTAACTTATCCTTCTCGTCTTGATTAAGTGCGGTGACAGGAATTCCAGTCCATCGGCTCACAACCTTCAAATAACAACATAGGAACATCATGGTAAGCATGACTCGTCGATCACAACAATAGACACAAATATTATTAAGAAAAGAATGCCTACTTGTGCGATATGATCTGGGGTGATAATTGCTTCCTTCATTGCCTTTGCAGAGCTACTTTTTGTAATGTTCACTTCCGCCTTTTGGCGGTTAATCTGCCTCATCTTTTTGCTTGCAGTGGCGCATGCCTCGTCAATTAGATCAATTGCCTTGTCAGGAAACTGACGACCTGCAGTACAGATAGAAATAACATCCATCAGTTTTCTCCAGCATATACATTCTTGCCACTAATCAATGCATTGATGTACCCAATGCAACAAGGGTGCTCCAATGTAATTATCCTCCCCCTTGAATTGTACAGCACAACTTTCATGTAAATAGCTTAAATTGGCAAGTGAGCCTTAACAAAGATGAACATCTGACTATAACAAATTAAGATCATATATACTCCATCTTCTTCCCTTTCTTTTTAATTATACTTTCTAAGTGACTAGGTGGGTGCACATCAAACAACATGAGTGAAACTGATGGGTTCCTCACCGGTGATATAGCGGCCAGCAAACTGTGCAGCAGCAACAAGAGCTGCGTCCTGTATTACCAAGCCATGGTGCCGTTCGTGCCGTTTCTTTAGCCCCTGCAAAATCTCAATGGTTGTGTCCATGCTCGGCTCCTCGACCTGCACCTTTTGGAACCGCCGCTCTAGTGCGGCATCCTTCTCGATGAACTTACGGTACTCATCGAAAGTTGTGGCACCCACGCAGCGGATACGGCCGCGGGCCAACGCTGGCTTCAGCATGTTGGCAGCATCGTTGGCACTCTTCCTGGACCGCCCGGCGCCAAGAAGCATGTGCATCTCGTCGATGAACAGAATCACCTTGCCGTCCGCGGCCTCCACCTGCTTTATCACGTCCTTCATGCGTCTCTCGAAGGAGCCACGCCACTTGGTCCCGGCCACCAATGCGCCGACGTCGAGCTCAATGACGCGCGCACCGGCGAGAACATCGGGGACCATCCCGGCGGCAATGCGCTGGGCGAGGGCCTCGGCCACAGCCGTCTTGCCAACCCCTGCAGCGCCGACGAGCGCGACGCAGTTCTTGGTCCGGCGGCAGAGGATGGAGACGACACGGTCAATCTCGTCATCGCGGCCGATCACCGGATCGGTTTTTCCAGCGAATGCCGTCATGTCCCGGCCAAACTTCCGGAGGCACGCGCGGCGTTGGTAGTACCTCCACGCTGCCCAGCCCACAGCAGTGGCTGCCCCAAGGCAGAGGACGGCTTTGGTGTCGCTAGACAGGTGTGCGCCGGAGCGCGGCGCAGAGGCTCCCAACTGATCGTAAACTCTAGGCTCCACCATGACCCTCTCGAAATGCTTACGATCCTGAACAAGCCAAAACACCAAGTTGCTTCAAACATGCATACATATACATATACATATATAAAAGACCACAAGTTAATTGTCTTGCAGGGATTAAACTTTGTTTTGTATGCGGTGTGGAGTTCTGAAACTAATTGGGATAAGTATATTTTTCGTCCTCAAACTCTGGCGATAGTATAGAAATCATCCCTCAACTCTGAAACCACTAAAACTCAATCCCTCGACTATTTAAACCGGATACTTTTCATCCCTCACGATGCTTAAAGTGGTTTTGGTATGTCGTAGACCCGGTTTTGACTAAAATCGTCCACCTGGCCTGGTTTTGACCTGCATGTAATCTGACCTATGTTATTTATGGAAAATTGGGTTTGCTCGGAGCATTTCAGTCGCATGTTTGTCCAGTTTGGTAACAGCAAATTGTATGCTAACTAGATGGTTTCAGTTCCAGACCATTTTATAAACTGAATGGGATTCATAGCAAATTGTTCACATGATTTTAGACAACTGTGTAAACTGAATGCATTGCCGATTGTTCACTTGTTAATAGATGATTGGACAGAGAGTACTGGACCGAACAGATTGCATGACAAACATAGTCTGACAACCACAAACATAGTACTGATTAGTCTTACAAGCAAACCACAAGGGAATTCTCAAAGTCTGACAAAGTAAGTGAGAAATACTACAAGCAACCACAAACATGAATTCAGACATAACCACAAGGGATAACCACAAACATGAGTACAAGTACACTAGTCCAGTAGTTAGTTTTGCTGGGACTTTCTTTGCTCTTTTATTTCCTCCAACTTGAAAACTTGCAGCACCAAAATGCAACATTGACTGTAAATGACCAACTAGACTGCACATTTACTGTCACATTTGAACTTGAAGCAGACATCCAAAATATTACTGCACATTTACCGTCAATGATGAACTAGACTGCACATTTAAGTTCGAGGACGAAAAATATAGTTATCCCAAACTAATTTAACTAGCAGTGCTAGCATTTGACGACATCAAAGATAGCAGGATTTGGCAAATTGATGGACAGAAAGTAACCTTGTTTTTTCTTCAGAAAACAGAGGAAAGTGATTATCAGGACTCTTGAGCGTAGCTGCTCCGATGATCGCCGCCGCTCGCAGCGATGTCCAGTCCGCCTCTGCTCGGCCCAATGCCCAGGACGCCTCGTCGCCTCGTCTTGGTTAGGTGCACGCCGGCGCCGTTCGAGTCCCCAATCCGCCGACGGATGCTCCGCGGCTCAACACCAGAAACCCTCGTCGCCTCGATCTGGGTAGGTGCGCACCGGCACTGCTCCAATTCCAATCCACCGGTGGATGCTCCGCTGCTCACGCCCAGGAGCCCTCGTCGGCTCGACCTGGTCAGGTGCGCGCCGGCGGCGGCGGCGCTCGAGTCCCCGTCAGGTCTGCTCTCGCACGCACTTTCCTTCTTTTTCGATAACCCGCACGCACTCTTTTTTTGAGAGGTAACACGCACGCACATGTCCAAGAGTAAAAGCACGCACTTTCGTGGGCTACCCATTCTAACTGGGCCGTAAGGCCTTCTACAATTGAGCTGCTGGTAAAAGGCCGGCTACGCAGTGGGCATGAATTTTAGCCGCCCACACCTCCAACAAATGCAGAAGTTCGGTCCTCGAGGTCCAGCTTGTACTATTTCTCGAAACACCAAAGACGCAATCCCTTGCTAGTTCCCTCTCGCTAGGGTTTTCTTCCTCTCGGGGCGATCTTGGTCGCCGCCGTTGAGTCCTGGCTTTCCCTGTCCCCTTTTCCTTCCCTAATCCTTCGCTCGTGATCCAGGGTGCCAGGGCGCACCGATCCGGGCAGAACAGAGGAGAGAAGGGGGGTTTCTAGGGTTCCTGCAAAGGCCCGATGCGTTGTTGATCGGTTTAGGGTTCGAAAAAGTCATGGCATCAGGCGGAGCTTCGGGGTCGAGTTCGGGGCCTACGGATCCGGATGATGTGACTGCGATGATGAAGGAACTAGGTCTTCGGGAGGAGGACCTAGACGATGTGGTTTTCAACGAGGACGAGGCCCCGGATGAGGCGGCGCGATGGATAGCGCTGGCTAGGGTTCACTCGCCAAAGACATATAACCAATATTGGTTTTTCAAAAACATGAGAGCAGCGTGGGATCTAGCCCAGGAGGTGCAGTTCAAACCTCTGGAAGATAATCTATACACTGTGCAATTCTCTTGCTTGGGTGATTGGGAGAGAGTAATGCGTGATGGCCCGTGGCACTTCCGGGGTGATGCTGTGATACTCAAACCGTATGATGGGTTGGCTAAACCTTCTACGGTCATGCTTGATACGATTGAGATTTGGGTGCAAATCCATGATGTGCCACTCTTGTATGCCCATCTTGTTCCATCGTTAGCAGCTAAGGTTGGAGAAGTCCTTTATGCCGAGCCTCACAAGATTTCACGGGTAACTTCCACTGGATATGGGTTCGGGTCAGTGTAAACAAGCCCCCGAGGAATGCTGTCTCTTTGATAAGGGACGGGAAGCGCCAGATTTATAGGCTTAAATATGAAAAAACTCCCGGATTGGTGTGCGGTGTGTGGCATGTTAGGTCATCAGTTCAAAGAGCATGGCAATGGAATCTGTAGGACCTTGAAGTATGTCTAGAGGGGGGTGATTAGACTACTTGACCAATTAAAAACTTAACCTTTTCCCAATTTTAGAGTTTGGCAGATTTTAGCTATCTTAGGACAAGTCAAGCAATCATCACACAAATCAAGCAAGCATGCAAAGAGTATATGGGCAGCGGAAATTAAAGCATGCAACTTGCAAGAAAGTAAAGGGAAGGGTTTGGAGGATTCAAACGCAATTGGAGACACAGATGTTTTTGGCGTGGTTCCGATAGGTGGTGCTATCGTACATCCACATTGATGGAGACTTCAACCCACGAAGGGTAACAGTTGCGCGAGTCCACGGAGGGCTCCACCCACGAAGGGTCCACGAAGAAGCAACCTTGTCTATCCCACCATGGCCGTCGCCCACGAAGGACTTGCCTCATTAGCGGTAGATCTTCACGAAGTAGGCGATCTCCTTGCCCTTACAAACTCCTTAGTTCAACTCCACAATCTTGTCGGAGGCTCCCAAGTGACACCTAGCCAATCTAGTAGACACCACTCTCCAAGAAGTAACAAATGGTGCGTTGATGATGAACTCCTTGCTCTTGTGCTTCAAATGATAGTCTCCCCAACACTCAACTCTCTCTCATAGGATTTGGATCTGGTGGAAAGAGGATTTGAGTGGAAAGCAACTTGGGGAAGGCTAGAGATCAAGATTCATATGGTAGGAATGGAATATCTTGGCCTCAACACATGAGTAGGTGGTTCTCTCTCAGAAATGGTAAGTTGGAAGTGTAGGTTTAGTCTGATGGCTCTCTCCATGAATGAAGTGGAGGTGGAGGGGTATATATAGCCTCCACACAAAATCTAACCGTTACACACAATTTACCAAACTCGGTGGGACCGATTCAACAGACTCGGTCGGACCGATTTAGTAAACCTAGTGACCGTTAGTGATTTTCGGTGGGGCTGACATGCAACTCGGTGAGACCGATTCGGTTAGGGTTAGGGCATAACATAATCTCGGTAAGACCGATTACACAAACTCGGTGAGACCGATTTTGGTAATAAGCTTTCCAGAGAGTTGGTCAGGTAAACTCGGTGGGACCGATTTGCTCTTTTCGGTGAGACCGAAATGTTACAAAAGGGAAACAGAGAGTTTACATTGCAATCTCGGTGCGACCGATCGCTCACTTCGGTTAGACCGAAATGTTACGAAGGGAAACAGAGAGATTACAATCCCATCTCGGTGAGACCGAGAACCCTATCGGTAGGACCGATTTGCCTAGGGTTTGTGGCAGTGGCTATGACTTTTGAAATCGGTGGCGCCGGGTAGGAAGAATCGGTGTGGCCGATTTTGGCTCTGGGTTTAGGTCATTTGTGGATTGTGAGAAAGTAGCTGAGGGTTTTGGAGCATATCACTAAGCACATGAAGCAAGAGGCTCATTAAGCAACACCTCATCCCTCCTTGATAGTATTGGCTTTTCCTATAGACTCAATGTGATCTTGGATCACTAAAATATAAAATGAAGAGTCTTGAGCTTTTGAGCTTGAGCCAATCCTTTGTCCTTAGTATTTTGAGGGATCCACTTTCATCATCCATGCCATGCCATTCATTGAGCTTTCCTGAAATAATAGTCTTGGAATAGCATTAGCTCAATGAGCTATATGTTGTTACGAATTACCAAAACCACCCATAAGCTTTGGTGCCTTGGGTGCTGGTGTAGCAAGCTCTTCTTCCTCTTCCATCATGGAAGGTTGCCCAACAACTCTGGCTATGGTCTTCTTGACCCTTTCCTTCCTTTTCTTTCCTTCAGCAGCAGGCTCTTTGGGATCAGGCTTTTCAGGTATTTGAGTTGAGACTCTGGCTTTGGACATTGGTTATCTTCCTACAGGCCTTTTAATCTTCATGCCTGGCTTTGTATGCTTTGCTGAGCCATACTCCTTTTTGAGTACTACTTTCTTGGAGGTAGCCTCATCTTCTTCTGCTATATAATCCTCATCTTCAGAGTCTGAAGTTCTCTTCTTCCTTTGCCTGGTAGCAGCCTTAGGCAGGTTGCTTGGAGTGCTCCTACTGCCTTCATCTGAAGTGCTGGAAGGACTAGTGCCCTCACTCATGTGCATCTGCCCTTATGACCTGTTCTAACTGTCACTCTGGTCTGACATGCTGCAAACACTGACTGCTGACCCTGTGAAGAGTTATAGATGAGATAGAGTGGATGAGCTCACAAAGTGCAGAGATTTTTGCAAAAGAATGGTTCAAAAATTCAGTTTTAGTTTTCCACAGAAAGCATTTCGGATCAACCGATTTTCAAACTCGGTGATACCGAAGTAGTTTTGGAACCTAAACTGATGAACTCGGTTGGACCGAGTCACAGTTCGGTGGCACC